TTATTATACAACATGCAAATTGAAATGGACCAATGGGTCCCCCCCTTAAGAATGTGGTTTGTTTTAGTTATTAGGAAAAAAATACATTTATTTACGGAATGTTTTCCTCAACGTTGACGACAATAACATTGGTCAACAACATCATTTTCATCCGTCAATGTGTGCATCAAGACCACGTATACAGCATAATCTGGTTAAAAAATTTGAAAAAATACATATTAAAAAACAACAAGGTTTTTTCGATAAATAGGCTTTAACTATTTCAAATCATCCAATCACAAAACTTTGCTGCAATAATAATGAAACACAGTAAAGCCCCTATATGATGTGGTTTCTTCTGAAGGTGGTTAAATCAGCAGCAAAGTGTGCAGCCGTCCTCAGAAAGGCCTAGAAGCACGCTGCTTCTTTTAAAAGTAACTGTGCTTTAAGTTCGCCACTTCTGTTGTTTCTTGTTTTATTCTCTTGGTTTAACACCCTTTCTTTTCTTTAGCACACCTCGTTCTTTTTTCCACCCCAGCGGCCTTCAAGCCACATCGCTTTTCACACACTTCTCCCTGGAGCTGCAAGAAGCTTTTCACACACGGCGAGGTGTTGCACACTCATCCGTTTTCCTTTTTACTACAAAAACTTCTCTTATAAACATGGCATCAATTAGGTCCAGTTAAGAGATGGAAAACCGATATAATGTATCTGTATTCTGAAAAGAGACTAAATAAGCAAGATCACACTGACACATGGAAAAGGTACACTTACGTTTTTTTTTATTTGTTTAAAGATAAATATATATATATCCAAGCTGAGAGTTTTTCAACATCAGGTTTTCAGAACATGTGAACATGAGAAATGTGATAAATAACACTTCTTAGGTTTTGCTCACTGACTGAGTCTGCCCAGAACAGAAGCAGGGGACTGGATGCTTCAGAAAGTCGAAGGAAACCTGTGAAGTTCTGCTGAAGCAGATACTGTAAGAACTGAAACTATCTCTGTTTTAACCCCTTGAGCCCTACGGACCCACCGGCGGGTCCAGCTGCTACATGACCTCGTAGTTTTACCAAACCCCCAGTATTGATGTAAAAAACACATTTGGCACAGTTTGGTGACATTTATGGATAAATGTGCCAAAATGGCCTCTCCGCCTAAGAAATTTCTCACTAATACCATTCTAAAATAAATGTGATTCATCTGATTGAGTCCAAATTTGGTATATTTTTACACAACATTTAGATTTGAAAGTCTGTACTACTTTTTTGTGCTATAAATAATTTTTGGTAGTGTTTTGCAATGTTTATTTCTAAGAAAATTTTGGCGAGGTTCAAAAAATGCAAAATATTTTGTATTTTGTCCCTAATATTTCAGGCAGGGTCAAAGCTACAATGGTGCTGACACCAGAAAACCATTCTATGACATCTTACCTTTACAGACGTACCAAAAGTTTCTTCTTAAATCTAATAGCTTTGAGGCTATAAGTTATTTACTTTTGTGTGTTTTTGTCAGGCAGAAATGTATTTATACCCCCTTAGGGTGTAAGATAAAAGGATCATTTTCTGAAGCAACTCTCTGGATGAGTGGCAGCTGTGTTAAAACATATTCAATCACATGTTTTTTTAAGGCACCAGAAGGCTGACCTGGTCAACTGTTCACATGATGCAACAGAAAAACAGCAACGGTTTCACTTCATCTACAAAAAGGAAACAAAATCGGATGGATTAGTGATCAAATGGCTGAAATCTGACCTGCAAACATGTTTATATGCACAGAGTAGATCTTCAAAGAAGTTACAAAGTGATTTGCATTTGCAACTGAAAGCCGACAATAGCCCCATTTACACCACCCTCTGAAAACTGATCCATGCTGAACTCTGTTCCCCACACTAGCGCGGTTTCTCGCGGTTGGGGAATATAAAAAAAGTATAATCAACCAAAACTTTCGTAACCCCAATCCAGTACCTTCTGTACCACGGACCTCCTGTTGAAGACCTCTGCTCTAGATGTAAACAAGCAAACTAACATGGCAGCGCCCATAACATTCAGGAGGCTATATTTTGTTTTAGTTGTGATATTTCGTTGTTTTTGGAGAGTCAGGGGAAGAAGGCAGCCTTTGGTGAATTTATTTGACAGAGTCGGCTTTTGGGAAGTAGATACGACAAACGATAGTCTAATCAGGGATGCAGGAAACAACGGCAGACGTTGAGGTTCATCACACTGCTATCATCAATCGAAATCGTGTGGCGCGGTAGGGAAGCTGGGATTTTTATTAATGTCTGAAATTTCATGATTACGGAGGCTGACTGTAAGGAGAGACGCAGTTTCCTCAGCCAGAACTGAAGCGCGCCAAGCTCTACTGATCAACTAGTACCATGTTAGCGCGGTTCGGTCAGTTGTGCTTGCCATTTACACTCAACAGTTATCTCTGTTACTGTGCTCAGACCGATCTCGGCACAATTTCAAAAGTATAGTGTACGTAAATGGGGCTAGTGAGTCGAAACCTTTTTTTGTCTAAGCTACACGGATTCATAGGTGGACGAAACTCAGGCGACATTCACACAGTAGCCAGTGAACTAAGTGACTTAAATGTGATTTTTTTTGCCCAGAGCAACCTGGATCTGATCTTTTCATGACAGTCTGAACAACACAGATCTGATTTTTTCCAATGCGACCTGTGTCTGAACGGCCATTTTTCCAACCTGAATGTCATCAATACTCAGCAAATGTCACTATTATGCTTCTTGCTACGCAGAAGCAGCAAGAAAAACAACCATGGCGGATGATGATGCAGAGAGCAGTTTTTATTTGCAACCATCTTGAAAAGATTGTGTTGTTAATCCAGTGGCTGAGGTTTAGAAATAAATGAAAGATCGCTAGATGCGCTCCAGCACTACCATCCATGTTTACTTCCGTACACAGAGCATGCTCACTACTTGTGATGTAATTGCGTCCTTTACTGGGGATGTGGGAAGGTTAAGCTGTATGAATGCAGTTCACAAAGGAGATCACATACAAGTCACATATATTTGGAATATGCTAGTGAAGATTATCAGTCTTCCAGGTCATAGTCATTCCAAAAAAGTTTAAAATAACAATTCACTGGACTTTTTTTCCAAGTTTGAAGGCATTTTTAAAAGGACCTTCTTTTAAGGACCAGAATGTTCACATTTTGGACAAAGAAAATAGGTGGTTTGAGAGGAGATGAAGGAAGCCATCAATGTTAAGAAGAGAAAAATCAACCTTAAACAGAGAAGGTGGACTCAGGTTTCAGCTTTCAAAAACCTACAATACAGCAATAGAGTTGATTCCTTCCTGCTATCAATGCCACCCCAACCCCTTTACAGGGGAACAGAAGACTTCAACTATTCAGCCAGACCAACTATTCCCTCTAACGACCCCCTTTCAGAGACTTAGACAGGTATGGGGCATTACAGGCTAACAAAGAAGCTAAACGACCCCCATTCCAAAGAGATGGACCCGTTCATCCGTTGCTATTTGCATGTTTTCTAAACAAAAACCAGGCTTTGTTGGGCTGCTGTATAAAACCTGGAACCAAACGCTATTTCTGACATTTTGAATTGAAAAATCTTCCTGGATGGAAGAGAAACGTCTTTAAACTTGGAAACAAAGTCCAGAGGATTGATTTTAACTTTTTTTGGAAAACATATATTTGGCAATGTGAACGACCGCGCAAAATAATAGGATTTCACACAAAAATACGTAATTGAACATTAATAACACGTGTCAAGGGTCTTTTTTAATACTTCTGGAAGGCAGCTATAAACTGACACACAAGGAAAACATTGGTACAATGACAGAAGACAGAAAGTTTGTGAGCATGTAGATATATTTGTGCTAGAGCAAACGACACAATACTAACGAATATCTACTGTCTACCTGCTCATCCAGGAGGAGCCAATCCTGCAAAGTCAATGACTGGATGCAGTCAGCTGGATTTCCTTCCAAAGAAAACGTAGAACTAATCTGACTAAATGATGACATTACATCATCACTGGCTAAATTGCCTTAAAATAAATAGTTAGAGTGGCTCAGGTTATCCTGAGCTAACTCTATAGTTCTGCTGCTATAGGCTTAGACTGCTGGAGGACATAGGGACCCCTTTTTCATCATTCTGCTTCATTCTATCTCTATTCTCCCACTGCAGAATCTGTTAGTTCAATCTCTAACGTTCTGCTCTCTCTGCTTTTTCTCATAGTAGCTTCATCTGGTCTGTTCCTGTTTGGCTGTGACTCCATCCTGGAGAGAAATATCAGCTGTGCTGCTGCCATCAACACCTTTGTTTCTAGATGTTGGAGCTTGGCCTGTTTTCCAGTGTAGTCCTGTTTCTCTGACTGTGACTAACTGGATGTGCTCTCTTCATCCTCTGACATGGGAGCTGGCTCGGAGCTCGTCTGCCTGGCTGTGTGTTTCCTGGACGGGGCCGCCTGTGGAGCTGGTTGACAGTTGCCTTTTGTATCTATGCTTCTTTTTCTATGTCTGCTTCTGTCTCCTTGAACCCCAGTGGGCCTCAGCAGATGGCCGCTCACACTGAGCCTGGTTCTGCTGGAGGTTTCTTCCTGTTCAAAGGGAGTTTTTCCTCTCCACTGTCGCTACAAGCATGCTTAGTGTGAGGGATTGCTGAAGAGTCAATGAGTCGATGCAATCAGCTGGTTTTCCTTAGATAGAAAACTTTGAATCAATCTGACTGGATGATCTGGTGAACTGGAAAGTGACCTGAGATGACATGATGTGAATTGGAGCTATAGAAATAAACTGAAATGAATTTAATTCATTATAGCCGTTTCTAGCTGGAAGAAAAATACTTGCTGAGACCATTCCTAGCCTCTGCTACAGTCTTTCAATACTTTGGTAAAAGGTTAACTGAGGAAAAATAGGTCAGCATTGATATATTCTGTGTAAACAATCACCTTAAAACCATTTTATATTTGATTAATCGTCATCGAAAAAAGCATAATCTTTCGTAAAGGAATAAAAGAACTGATTCTGCTTCCTGACCTGGGAGTCCGTGGTCCCGTCCCCTCTGCAGGTTCAGTGAGGCCAGATCCATGTGCTGTGGGGAATCCAGGACCAGCAGGGTCTCTGTTACCTCCTCCACTAACAGGGAGTCTGGACTAGCAACTGGTGCCGCTGATCCAATCATACCCCTTAATGTTGGTTCGATACCACCTGCACACAGGAAAAGAATCATTGAAAAACAAAATAAACTCTGCAGCTTCATGACCTAATTAATTTGAATGGATACATAAGTGATTTGCCAATGAAATTAGTATTTTATTCTTAAAGCTACAGTGTGTAGTAATTACAGGGATATACAGTCAGAAATGTAATATATTATACATAACTATGTTATTTATCATCATCTACGAGCTCAGCCTCTTAACCTTAATATTTGCGTTGCCTTAGAATTCGTTATTTATAATTACATAGGAGCGGGTCTCGCAGCCGTGGAGGCAGACATCTTTGCGCTACGGCAGCGCAGAGCCAACAAACTAGTGATTGCGAGATCGCCAAAACGTCACAACGATGTAGAAAAAATAACGGGTATATTTATTATCTAAAGTCTACATGAAATCTATACCCTACACAGACTAATGAAATACTATCTGTAAAATTATCTAGGTAAACAAACCTCATCCCTTGAGAAGGTAGGTGATGCGGACGTCGTGGAAGACATTTTGTCCCGTAACGCTCGCCGTACTGTTGGGGGGGAGAGGCGGTGGGGGGAAGATGTTCATGTTGCTGCAGTCTGCAGTCTGACCGCTAGATGTCGCTAAAAGTTACACACTGTAGCTTTAAGATAAGATAATTCGATAATATGCACTTGAACAAAGACAATGCAATTGTTTTTTCTTATTTAAAATGTAAATTGTCTTGTTCCATTGGAAGTGTTTCACTTGCCTCGTCAAATTAATAAAAAATGCATTTATTTTAAAGGAAATATATGCAGAATTCAAACTTCTGAAAGAACTTTGAATCTGAAATGATTCCATCCTGTTCAATAAATGATCAGTGTTTTTAATTCAGAGTAATTTCCATGTGAATGTGTTTTACTGGAGGCATCCATGTTTGTCTAAGAACACTACTGCCACCTACTGGTTAGTGACGTCACGGTGCGGTATCGGCTGTTGATCAAGTCCCAGTGCTGTATCTGGTGTTTGTCACAACGCGCTATTATCCAAGTCATCTTGAAAACATTCTTCTTCCAAATGTTGGCTACAGAAGTTCTGTCTATGTCTCTGAAAGGGGGGTCATTAGAGGAATTGCTGGTCTGGCTGAATAGGTGAAGTCTTCTGTTCTCCTGTAAAGGGGCTGGGGCTGCGATGATAGCAGGAAGGAATCAACTCAATTGCTGCATTCTAGGTTTTTGAAAGCTGGAATCTGATCCCCCACCCCCCCCCCCCCCCCCCCCCCCCCGTTTAAGGTTGGCTTTTCTTTCTTAACAGAGATACTAAGACTGACAGCAGGTGGATGAGATGAGTGACAATTTGGAGCTGGACAGAGTTAAGCAAGGCCTGAATAATTAAGGTGAGCTATCAGGGCAGATCATGACATATCTGAGTGTTTTCCAAACTATTTTGGGTTGTTTATTGTTCAGTGTTCTGCTCAGTCAGATAACAGTTTTTGTTTATGTTTTTCTTTTTGCTTTCTGTATTTCTTGTAATCTGTGATTTTAATAAAGGTTCCATTCCTCTTCCTTAATGGGTTCGGTTAGTTTGGATTTCGTCGGTTCTCCTACCAAGCTTTAAGACGTTGCAGGAATTAATCTCAACTATTCCTGAAACTCCAGCTGACCTAAATACATTTACTTTCTCTTTCTTCCTGTGTTTTCAGGGTGTGCTTTGATAAGAGCGCACTGACCTTCTTTAACGATCCTCCAAGGACTGAAGAAAGACGCGTGAAGTCTCAGGTGGGGGAAGTGCTGGTGTTCCTGGAAGCTCTCGTTCAGCCTGCTGAGGAGAGGCGGGATGGTGCCGTGACCAAACCTGAACGCTGCAGTAGCAAACACGTTGGAGGCCGAGGCATCCACAGATGGATCGTATCCCCGGTAGGGTCCCACGTAACGTTCAAACAACTGCACACCAATTATTTTTGGGACATAATCCCTCATTGTTACTATCTGAAAAGCCCAAAATGAAAAAAAAATAAGGCGTAAGAAAAACAGAACCTAATTTATCAGTGTCCTGATTTCAAATTGTATTTGTTTTGAGACAATTTGAACACATTTCAATTTGAACAGATAGATAGATAGATAGATAGATAGATAGATAGATAGATAGATAGATAGATAGATAGATAGATAGATAGATAGATAGATAGATAGATAGATAGATAGATAGATAGATAGATAGATAGATAGATAGATAGATGATAGATAGATAGATAGATAGATAGATAGATAGATAGATAGATAGATAGATAGATAGATAGATAGATAGATAGATAGATAGATAGATAGATAGATAGATAGATAGATAGATAGATAGATCATGAACTGCATCCAGTTTGAAGATCATTAATAATGATACTAATGGGCAGGTTCTGTTCTCTCTAAACCGAGTAGCAGAGCCGACTCTTTAACTCCCTGAGGGGGGGAAAGGTCCCAGATCAGTGTCTCTGACTGCGCTGAGCCTGGAGGAAGAGGAGGACCGCTGAGAACTTTGATGTTTTTATCTCCTCAGACTTTCTCACACTTTGATTTGGGCAACAGAATATCTGAAAGTCTTTCAGTGTGAGATGAATATTAGCAAACTGATGAGGAAAAAATTCTGTTATTAAAACCTCTGAAAAGTTGCTTGGTTTTTGAGGATAAAGAGTGAACTGTTGTCAAAAACACCTCCGCATTTCTAAGCTGCAACTTTCTGCCACGACTTAGAAATGAGCCAAATACCTTTAAAGGGATGTACGGAAGCCAAGAGCGGACATCCTCGTCTTTTTATTTTTTATTCCCTTTGCCTTCTTGCCGAATTGTTTTCTCGAGATAACATGAGTGGTTAGTGTTAAAATTATTAATAACTACTTTAAATTTGACAAACTGGTCCATTTTTCTAGTCTAGCTTCTATCATTTGCGGTTAATTTGCCTAATAAAACTGTATTTACCTTTTAGAGGCGTTAAATGTTTTATACTTGCTAGGCTGGATCAATTCTACGGAAGAGGATTAGGGCCAGCGGAAAAAAAAAAAGTTAACTGATTTTAAAATTTTATTTCAGTTTAGTATGGGAAAAAAGTCAGGATTCTGAGAAAAAAGTCAGAATTCTGACTTTTTTCACAGAATTCTTTTTCAATTCAAATGGTTAGCAGTAGTGTTAAGTTTGAGGTTTTGATGTGCTAAAGCCTGGAACTCTACGATATTTCTGACATTTTGAATTGAAAAAGCTTCAAGGATGGGAAGAGAAACATCTTCAAACTTGGAAACAAAGTCCAGTGGATTGATTTTAATTTTCTTTTTTTGGAAATTCTCCTCCTTGCTCTATTTCTGTCCATTGAATAAGGAATCAAATGTTTTCTTGTACTTTTATAAAAAATATTCTCCCTATTTTGTAGGTTATAATTTGTAATATAAGGTCAGTATGAGGTTATTGATGAAATTTAGATGGATGTCGTGTTTGAAATTGTTACAACCAAGAGTTTAGTTTTTGTAAATCAAGAGTTAAAATACCTGCCGATCATTTATCTTTCTTTCTTTGAAAAAAGAGTTCAGTAATTGCATCAACCTAAATATTGCAAAAAAAATATCATCCTAGGAAAGTTTCCACGCTATAATGCCAATAAAGGCCTTTTCATCTAATAAAGTACTGAAAGGGCAGCTATTGTTAGATATTTAAAAATAGATTTTAAGCTGATGGAATTATAGAAAAAGAAGGCTTGTGTATTTTCATTTTGAAACAATCATCACATATTATTCAGCCCTGAGTATTGATTTTAATATTCATCATTCATAATCCAAAAAAAAATTGTTATATTGATCAAAATTATAAAAATAGTCGAATATTTTAAGTTTCAGAAAACAACGAGACAACTAATCTTTTTAGATAATACAGGCAAGAATTTAAAACTGCTTTAACCCATGACTTAATGTTTAATTAACATTTAAATGTAAAGGAAAAGTCCAGCCAGCAAGGAATAATCAATGGATCATTATTTATACCTAAAACTAATACGTTCACAGTGATTTAATGAATTTAGCGTTAATCAGTACATCTTCCGGCAGTGACGTCACGGTGCGGTAAGCCTAGCGCCATTCTCCCCGCTTTCCAAGCTAAATCAATGGGAACTACTAGACACATCTGCAATCAACAACAATTATTGAAGATTTCCAGAGGACTTCACCATTGAAATTCACCAGAGCTATAGTGAAACTGACAATGCCCACGTGCATGGCAGCTGGATGCTGGAATACATCGGGGAAAAGTGAAAAAAAAGAGTTATTCCACCTTTCTGATTCCTGATCCTCCACGGACGGGTTGGTCGTTGGATCGCCAACTTGAAGAGGGAGGATTTGCCATCGAACTTCTGGCCAGAGAAAAAACCCGTAATATGTTTTTATACAGGGGTCAGTGACTTGTATATTTCTCATCTTCAGAGGGTTCAAAATGCTGCTGCACGTCTTTTAACAGGTACACGAAAATTCGACCACATTTCCCCTGTTTTAGCTTCCTTACACTGGCTGCCAGTACATTTTAGGATTAATTTTAAAATTCTTTTATTTGTTTTTAAAACTCTTAATGGCCTTGCTCCTTCTTATCTGTCTGAGCTGTTACATTCTTATACACCCTCCCGTTCCCTCAGGTCAGCTGATCAGTTGCTTCTGAGGGTCCCAAAGACAAAATGCAAGCTCAGAGGAGACCGTGCTTTTTCTGTGGCAGCTCCTAAGCTGTGGAACGATCTGCCTCTGAGCATAAGACAGGCCTCTTCTCTTGCTGTATTTAAGTCCCTTCTTAAGACTCATCTTTTTTCCTTGGCTTTTGGCACAATTTGAGAGGTTTTACTTTGTTTTATTCTTTTTGTATACTAATATGTATTTTACACTCGTTTTTTCTCTATTTTATAATTTTATTGTATTTTATGATTGTGTACAGCACTTTGGTCCTGTTCGGTGTATAAAGTGCTTCATAAATAAAGTTGGTATGGTATGGTATGGTATGTAGCCAACATTTGGAAGAAGAATGTTTTCAAGATGACTTGGATAATAGCGCGTTGTGACAAACACCAGATACAGCACTGGGACTTGATCAACAGCCGATACCGCACCGTGACGTCACTAACCAGCAGGTGGCAGTAGTGTTCTTTGACAAACATGGATGCCTCCAGTAAAGCACATTCACATGAAAATTACTCTGGATTAAAAACACTGATCATTTATTGAACAGGATGGAATGATTTCAGATTTAAAGAACTTTCAGAAGTTTGAATTCTGAATGTGAGCGACTTTTCCTTTAAGCCAGGAAGCTCGTATAATTAAGATGCTTTAAGGATCCTGAGCCGAGGAGGAGAACATTTCGGTCCATGCTAAAGACCCCCTGCTCTACAAGCAGAGAATGGCAATATGTGAGAAGAACAGCATCTACAGCTTTAGTCCTCTGATTGAAACGCCTTCTGACCTTTCCATTTGTTTGCCCTTCATCTCCTGTGCTGAGATGTGTTTTTCAGGTGGCCACCCACCGCCTGTCTGCTGAAAATAAAGCTTTTCTACCTGCTGGCTTCAGACACTGTTTAAAATGATGGAGTTTCAAATGATAAAAAAAAAGAAAAACAACATAAACCGTTTCATTATAGATTAAGGAATGTCACCTCTCTGCTATCTGTGGAGACATTTCCACATTTATTAAAGTTATTTGTGTGTGTCTGTATCAGAGGACAGTGTGAGACGATGTGGGCTGTTTCATGACACCAGCTTCTTCAAAACAATATTCATCGAATTTAAAAATAGCAGCTGTTAAATGATGTCTGAGACGCGGTGTCGGTGAGCGACAGTCGGTGAACAAACCTTCTGCTTTCGTCGCATCATCTCCGGTTTAATGTTTGTTTATTAATTATAAAAAAATAAATACTTTTTTAAATGCTAATGTTTAAACTAACTGTAGATTTTCCTTAGTAACCTCACAGGGTAAAAAAGGCTTGAATTCCCAGCTTACCACTGCCTCAGTATTTGAGCTCTTCTCTGAGCCGATGTCTGGATGGAAGGCTCCATGTTAGCAGGATTTATTACTCCAAAACTAGTTTGGATGTTAGTTTTGGATTACTGCTCACCATGACGCATGAGGGAAGGTCCATATTCAACATCAATCCAGTTTATTTCTATAGCTCCAATTCACATCATGTCATCTCAGGTCACTTTCCAGTTCACCAGATCATCCAGTCAGATTGATTCAAAGTTTTCTATCTAAGGAAAACCAGCTGATTGCATCGACTCACTGACTCTTCAGCAATCCCTCACACTAAGCATGCTTGTAGCGACAGTGGAGAGGAAAAACTCCCTTTGAACAGGAAGAAACCTCCAGCAGAACCAGGCTCAGTGTGAGCGGCCATCTGCTGAGGCCCACTGGGGTTCAAGGAGACAGAAGCAGACATAGAAAAAGCAGCATAGATACAAAAGGCAACTGTCAACCAGCTCCACAGGCGGCCCCGTCCAGGAAACACACAGCCAGGCAGACGAGCTCCGAGCCAGCTCCCATGTCAGAGGATGAAGAGAGCACATCCAGTTAGTCACAGTCAGAGAAACAGGACTACACTGGAAAACAGGCCAAGCTCCAACATCTAGAAACAAAGGTGTTGATGGCAGCAGCACAGCTGATATTTCTCTCCAGGATGGAGTCACAGCCAAACAGGAACAGACCAGATGAAGCTACTATGAGAAAAAGCAAAAAAAATTTGGAGCCGTTCACCAAACGAATGTCCAATCAGCGTTGGCTTTGAGGCGGGTTGAGGTGTGACGCAACGAGAAGCGCGACAGTTCAGTCTAAAGAACATGGCGGCTTCAGCCGATGAAACTAGCGTTAGCGTGGCTATCGAGCAAGTTTTATGGGAATTACAGAGTATTTCTTCACTGAAAGAAGAGCAAAACACTGCTCTGGAGGCTTTTCTCAGAGGAAAAGATGTTTTTGCTCTTCTCCCGACT